GCATGTTAGCAATTTGGTCTCTAGTTCCTCTGCCCCTTCAGAATCCAGCTTGTACTGTACTTCTGGAAGTTCTCGGTCCACATACTGCTGAAGCCTACCTTGTAGGATTTTGAGCATAACCTTGCTAGTGTGTGAAATGAGTGCAATTGTATGGTAGTTGGAACATCCTTTGACACTTCCCTTCTTCGGGATTGGGATGTAGACTGATCTTTTCCAATCCTCTGGCCACTGCTGCGTTTTCCATTGATGATGATAAAAAAGCACACTGGTCCTTTGATATTGGGCTGTGGCACCAGGGTGGGTGACATGACCTTTAGCCTGGTTTGTTTCTTTTTGCACACCACACATAGAATGATTAAAGTGGTAGGGAAAGCCTCCCCCGCAATTCTGTGTTGGCTGTCTCTAGCAAGCATGTCACTGCTAGCACCACTCTGGCAGCCACTGATGATGATTAAATCCTGTGCGAGCTAGCAAAAATTTAATGCAACTTGCTAGGAACATTGGACACCTTACTACTCCGTATACCACACCAAGGCTGGAGGGGAATGTGTTCCAGCAAAACTAGTGCACATCTTTATCAAATTTGGTGCATCCTGCTAGTTTGGTACACAGCCTGTGTAGATTCAATAATATTTTTAATTCAAATAATGTATGATTTCCTTCCTTTCGAATCAAGGGGGTAATGTCGGCATATATAAATTTTTTTGGGGGGGTAAAAGGTAAAAAAGTTCCCTGACCCCTGCTCTATCACTCAAATTGTGAAGGTGGGATGAGTTGGGTTCACACTATAAATGAGGAATGCAATGTGGGTTTATTTTTTGTACTACATTGGTCTTCACCCATAGACAATCTTTGTCATAGGTTGAAAAAATAGATTCTGATATGAAGAACAGCCCCTTTCCTACAAATAAACAAATGAAAGAAACAGAGGATTCTGTGGAAAGTGAAATAAAAGAGAAGGTGAGTAGGACACATTAATGGGACTTGCTTTTGGCATCCTGGCTGCTTTGATTAGTCAGTCAGGTTACAAAAGTATAAAAAGGGGGAGGGCGAAGGGGAGGTTACCTGGTGATAACATTTCTCCCATCCAAACCGTGCCTGTCATCTTCCCTTCCAGAGCTATCATAATGTCATCTCTACTTATTCTTAAGTTTGCTTCTGCTCACATAAGACAAGAGTTGGAGGACAGGCTGAAGGACATCTGATGGTGCAGGTGTACCAATAAGGGAACAGTTGTGTATACCAATTGAGATGAATATGAACCCTTCCTGATAAGATCCCCATTCCTAGTTTACAGGTGCTTACCTACAGTAATCCCTTGAAGCAGGTCTTGCCAGATCATTTGATTAGAGTGGAAATGTTAGCCTTGTGGTATGTTTTATGAATATAAATCTCTAGCTTATTTGAAAAACAGCATAACTCTTGAGGCCCATATCAATCAGCAGACTGAACAGGTTTAATACAAAATAACTGCTGTTCTTTTAATCAGAAGACAGCTTTCCGTAGAGTAGCGTATTTTTCTGTGTATAAGACAACCAAATGTATAAGACGACCCCCGATTTTCCAACCCCAAATAAGAAAATTTGATCGCTGCTTCCCCCCTCCACCTCCTAAGCCCTGTGAAAACAGGATCAAAGGGCTGTGGAAGTGGAGGGGGAAAGCAGTGATCTTAGGAAGTGGAGGGGTAAAGCAGTGATGAAAAGGCTGCAGGATTGCAGCCCTTTGATCCTGCAGCCCTTTCATTGCTGCTTTACCCCTTCATTTGGGGCTTAGGAAATGGAGGGGTAAAGCAGCAATGAACGGGCTGCAGGATCAAAGGGCTGTGGTCCTGTAGTCCTTTCATTGCTGCTTTACCCCTCCATTTGGAGCTTAGGAAATGGAAGGGTAAAGCAGCGATGAAAGGGCTGCAGGATCAAAGGGCTGCCTCCAGACCCATCTGATGGACAAAGGGTAGGCAGTTTTGCTACCGTGCGGTTTTCTCTTCGGCTTACTTCAGTGTAAAAGATGACCCTCCATTTTTCCTCCAATGATTTTAGGAAAAAGTATTGTCTTCTACACTGAAGAATATGGTATTTCAGAGTGACTTCAATATACAAACAAGCTAACAAAGTCACAAAGTAATGAAATGTAATACAGTATATGTTGGAAGCAGTTCTTAGTGGGGAGCAGTTTAGAGAAATCAGCAGGTAGAACTTTTCCGTATAGTCCACGATCTATCCAGAATTGGTCTAAGTGATAGGCCTCCTACTGATATTTCACCTGACCAGTTTGCAGCATTTAAAAAATCTAAAGTGGAGGCCATCCACCAGGAGCTATCCTTTTTTGAACACAGTAGATTGAGCAGAGACGTCCAGCGCTCCGTCTTACCCAATCAGACTCAATCTCTTTCAGCCTGTGATGTCAGATATGGTGGACAAAGCTCTTGACCGCTGTTGTGCCACCACCTCCTCCCTTGCCCGGCCTGGCTAATCAAAGCAGCCAGGCCTATATCAACCAAATGGGCCACTGCAATAATTAATGGGTCTCTCCGGGAAACACTCATTAGGCCCATTAGGAAGAATCCACGTTTGGCAATTATAAGCCCGTCGCCAATGTTTCTTTCCTCAACAAAGTGGTAGAGAGAGTGGTGGCTGATCAGCTGCAGGCCCTTTTCAATGAAACCAATGCCTTGGATCTATTTCAGTTGTGCTTCAGGCTGCACTATGGTATGGAAATGGCATTGGTCACCCTGTTTGATGACCTGCTGAGGAAGGCAGACAGGGGCAAAATGTCTCTGTTGGTCCTTCTCGATATCTCAGCTTCTTTCGATACCGTCAACCATGGTATCCTCCTGGGGAGGCTTGCTGAGCTGGGAATCAGTGGTCCAGCACTAGCCTGGCTTCGATCCTTCTTGGAGGACTGTCCCCAGAGAGTAGAGCTTGGGGAGAGTGTATCGGCTCTGGGGAATCTTAATTGTGGAATTCCGCAGGGCTCGATTATCTCCCCAGTGCTGTTTAATATCTACATGAGGCCACTCGGTTAGGTCATCAGGGTGTGTAGGGGTTCGTGTCATCAGTATGCTGATGACACCCAGCTCTATATCTCCTTTTCTCCAACAACAGTGGATGCCATTTCATGCCTTCAGTGCTGTCTGGAGGCTGTATTGAAATGGATGCAGGTGAATGGTCTGAAGCTGAACCTGGACAAGATGGAGGTCCTGATGGTGGGTGGCCCCGATGTCAGTGGTTTGGGGAATCCTCTCTGTTTGGGGGGAGGGGTGACTCTCACCACAAAGAATTTGGTTAGCAGTCTGGGGGTCCATCTTGACCCAGCATTTACCATGGATACCCAGGTTGCATCAGTGGTCCACACCACCTATTTCCATCTTCAGTGGATTGCCCAGCTGTGTTCGTGGCTTGATGTGGGGGGCCTCACCACTCTAGTGCATGCGCTTGTAGTCTCGAGATTAGACTGCTGTAATGAGCTCTATGTGGGGCTACCTTTGAGGTTGATGCGGAAGCTTCAAATGGTGCAGAACGTGGCGGCCAGACTTCTTACTGGAGTGAGACATCAACATATCTCCCCTACTCTGGCTGCTCTGCATTGGGTGCCAGTTCGTTTCCGCATTAATTTCAAAGTAATAATGATGACATATAAAGCCCTAAACAGTTTAGGACCTCAATATCTGGTGGAACAAACAGCAACTTGCACAAACAGCAACTTGCTCTTTGTTCCATGTTCTAGGGGCAGAGAATCTATACAACAGATTAACTTGTGCTGCTTTGGTCAAATACCAAATGCATCACCTCCCTGTGGGTGCACCCCCAAGCATGCCATGCCCTCGCGAGCATGCCACACACCCCCAACCTGTCCACAGTTGGGAAAAGGATCCCTACTGTAAAACATACATAGAGTATCCAGCTTTTCCTCCATGTCTGTCTTGCCAAGCAAACACATCCATAGCCAGGAAGATTCTTCAGTTGTTCATTTAAAAATGCAGTTGCTTTTCACCTTTCAGGTTCTCTTAGGATCATATTACTTTTGGACATTGACACCTATTTGCCTATCCTGTGCCTGCGAAAGTGGAAAGCGTAAGAGAAAATGGAGAACCAGGGGGATTTGTAAGGAGGATGCAGGATTTTCAGCTTGATTGCATTGGGGGAAACATGCAATATTGGTTCTTGCTCCTGACCTGAGTAGGTCTGCCTACACTTCTACCTGTACATCAGAGGGGATGTTCAATTATCTTTCTAGTAAGATATAAAGCCAGCAGAAGACCAAAACATCTAGAATATTATTTTATTAATGGAAAGTGGGCTGCCACAATAGCAGTTTTTAGAAACAGGAAAGTCCTTGAGTGTCTTAAGTTATCAGTGAAATAACTATTGCAGAAAAGGTGTGAAAGGAAAGGAGAAGCCATCTGTAAAGCAGCAGTTCTGGAACTTTTTCATGGACCCCTTGAAAATTGCTGGTGGTCTTAGTGAACCTACTTTTCTTCTACAAATCAAAACATCATTTTGCCCTCTTTTTCCAAATCAGCACATGTTGTGCAAATCAGGCGCTAAAGGCTAGGCTGCTAATAATGAGTCCTGTTAAGTTTTTAGAGGCCACCATGTGTGGCTGGTGCAGTATTACAAAAATGATAGAACGTAAGCCAGAACCTTGCCATCTTGTTAATCATTGGGCATTGGTCAAAAAGGCTTAATTCGCTTTTGTCAGGAAAAAGAAATTGCAAGGCCAAGTACAGATGTTCTCAATTGTTCTGCAACCTTTCTGCTGAATACATAAACAGCTGGTAAATTATGGGCTACAGATTGAGAAACGTAGCTGTAGGGTACAGAGGGTTCAGAATCATTAAGGTATAGAAATGATCAGCACTTTGAATTGGGCCTGGAAGCAAACACAATGTATTTGCTAGTGAAACATTATACCCTTTTAAAGGGCATTTCTAAAAGTCTAAGAGATTCTAAATTATCCCATCATGACCTTTGCTTCTTTGGAGGTATCCTCACGCTCTTTTTTTAGTAGGTCTCTGCACACACAGACTGCATTGAATACTTGGCAGTGGTAATCAAAAATGAAGTATCATTGGAAAGGCTATACGGTTTCATAATTCATGTCCAAAGAGGATGGTTTGTCACTTTTAAACAGAAGTGAACATTTCACTGAACTGGCAGACATATTGAAAATATATACAAATACTATTTGTAATGTTTCTGATTGATTAATTAAATAATTGAAAGGCTAGCCCTTCAGATACATAGACCAATGTCCTTGGATGTTTTCCAGCATCATATCTTTAGGGTCATGAGTTGATCATCAGATGTGGAAGCTATCAGTATCTGTAGCAGAAGGAAACTGATCTCTTGGGAGTATCTACACTCAGTGCCTTTCTAGGACACTAGAAGGATAAGCTGAATTGACCAAACAGGATTGAATAAACAGGCTTAGCTTCTGTTAGTTTCTTTGAAGAACTCAACTTTGTCCTTGACTATACTTCCAAGGATAAATAGCAAAGTACAAAAACAAGTGAAAACAATGAAAACCCATGGTTTGTCTGTCATTGTGAAACTGTTTGAGAATTAGAAACATGAGAAAAGTTAAAGCTGTGAATTTTAGAAAAGGGCTGCATACTATAGTCTAATTAAAATGAATTGCCTTTAAATTGTGGCATGTCATTTAAATTTCATGTCAACAAGTTTTTGCATAGTATGACATTTATAACATTACAGTATATATAACTGGAGTTAGCATAACATGTACTTTGACAGCAGTTTAAATTACCATGGACAAATATAACTTAATGTGTTTTCCTTAATTACTGTAATAACTTATATGTGGGGCTACTGTGGGAGAAGGATCAAAAACATCTATGAGTTCAGAATACATATGTGAAATGCTAACTGGAACTGGGTACCCAAAGAATTAGCTGTCTCATATATGCCTATCTAGACTTTGTGATAATCACCTGACACCATTCTCAGATGGTTCTACTGGAGTAAGAACCTGTTGTGGCACTTTAGCTGTAACATTGTGAAGAAAAACTAATTTTGCCTTGAGATCATTTTGACAACAGGCAAAGGCCTGATTATTTTCCCAGGCATTTTTTTCTTTAACTATTTCTTTGTTTCTTTGCTGGTGATTTTATGTTGATTCCTTTTACTGCTGATGTTTGTTCTATTGGATATTTTATTTTATACACACTGTTCTATTGCTTTGGTATGGTATGTTCTAAGCTACTCCAGTAGTTCATTTAAGTCAAGATATAAGTCTTCTAAACTCCTAAACTTTTCATGTGTGGATCTCCAAACTATAGATTCCTATATGTGTGTATTTTTTTAACCCCGTAGTATGTAATATTTTATATGCACTTCCTCTAATATTTGCATTTTTTGTGCACATTTGCTAACACAAAGATTTTCATACATGTTTTTCCCAATGCTGAGTGTTTAGAAGATTGCAGCTGAGTTCTAGGAGTTAACAAATACATTTTTGGGAGTACTTGTTAGTTATATTTGCTTGAACATGTGAACCTAAAAAAAATGCCATCATCCGTATTTAAGATGAAGTAGACATTTTCATTCTTCAGGTGGATGAGAGGGGAGGAGAAGCATATAAGCCTGAGGGTGTCATCATAACAAGCAATGGTTTGTTATTACATCTGAACCAGATCGTTTATAAGATCCCTTACTGACATCCATACAATGAGATGTCTGCTTTTGTTACAGGATTGGGAGAGTGGAAGTGAGATAGAGACTGAGACCTGGTATCCAACTAATATGGAAGAGCTAGTAACTGTAGATGAAGTGGGAGAGGATGACCTTATCATGGAACCTGATATAACTGAACTTGAAGAAATAGTAACAGTACGTCAGAAAGACGAAGAATGCCCCATATTGAATACTTTAGATGCTGGAGTGGAGGTGAAGAATGAGCAAAACTTATTAAATAGAAGCAATGATAAATCTAAAGTAATGGATGCAGGCTTAGAGCCAGAAGGGGAGAATACAGGGAATCTCTGTGGCTCTGAAGGTAACAGTGCAGCTACTAAAGTAGCACATCTAAATCTGGACATTGAGCAGAAGGCAGATGAACTGCATGAAAGCAGACCTCAGCAGGATTCTAATTACAATCATAAGGAGAAAAATATAAATGAAAGCATTAACATTAATTTGAAGTTGGAGAACCAGTGCATATCTTCCTCTCCTCCAAAAGAAGAGCTCTTCCAGCAATCAATGACAGATCATTATAAAGTGATGGACCCTCTAGAGAATAAAAAAGCCATGAAATTGCTGCCAAAAAACACCCAAGAGGAGACAAGCAGTGGAAATCAGGAGCATCAGAGGACGTTGGGTTAGTATATTTTCCCATTCTTCTTGTTATATAGTTTTAAAAATCCTTCAGCTATGCAGTTTTCTTTTGGTTTTAACACTTTGTCAAGAAGGAAAAAACATTGTGCAAAGCATTGTAGCTTTCCAAGAAAGTAGCTCAGTAGAAATATCAGAATCAAGCCACTCTTATATGAATGGGGTCAAGGGAACAAGATACATGTCTATCAAGTACTCTAGAAGACATGTTTTTATCATAGTCACTTTTGGGTTCATACCAGTTGAGTTGTATTATTGGAGCATCTAGCTTAAATTGTTTACAGTTGTTAATAGGAAGAGCAAGCCAACAGCCATTTACATCTGTTTGATGAAAAAAAAAATGCCTTACAGAGCATATTATTTCATCATGAAATTACCTTTTGAATTATTAGCCAAAATCCTCTTCAGTAGCTATACAAAAAGCATAATATTTGGAGGCCACTTGCCTCAAATTAAGGAATCTCTGTTGTATCCCGAGTCATGCAATTTTTGGTCATTAAAGGCTCTCCGCCTGAGGCCACCAACAGCTTCCCTAGGTCAAAGGGATTCCCAGGGAGCCTTGAAACCTGGGGGCAGGGGAGGGGGATAAGAAACTTCTAATTAAAGGTAATAGACATCATCAGCCTTACATGCATGGAGCGGTGCCAGCAAAACACTGGGCAATAAGCCACCAGTAATGTCTATGGAGATTTCTTAACTTTAAGCAGTTCACTTCCCAAAGTTATCTGTTTGCATCATGACATGATTTTGCCACTAAATTCTGGTACTGTTGTATGTTAGCAGACAACAATTCCCCCTGTTCTGTTATCTGTGTATTCAATTGTATGTGATATATGTTAGTGTGACTAGAACATGCTTGTATAAGATACATAGTGCATGATGAGTTTGTTCTTTGAAATTGTTAACATTTTGGAAAAACATTAGAATCTTCCAACCAGTTGAGATCTCAATTCAGTTGAATATTATGTAGAAAATGAAGCAGACAATAATATCTAAATTTTGCACTGGAAAGGGTTGTTTTATGGACATAAAGTTTGGGTACAAATATATATTTTAACAATAGTATATTAAAGCCAAGGTTCCTGCTAGGCCGGCACGTCCGTGCATGACTCCAGTTCCCTCTGCACAGCTCTCTTCCTTCTCTGCACAGCAATTTCGTTAGGTTCCTGTTGCAATGGAAGCCAGTGTGCAGAGGGAGTAGAGTCACGTGTGCACGCAGGGGCAAAGCCACACAAGAGAGAGAGGCAAAGTCCTGCCCAGTGGGGCTGAAAATTAGAGGGCATGTTGATTGAAACTCTGCAACTTCTGTTCAGACAATGGGATTATGTTCAAATGCTGCATAACCTCAGGGCACAGCTAGCTTCTTTAAATAAATAATCTGTGTGACAGTAGATGTTATGAAAAAGCCTGCTGTGCTTAGTTTCTTTGTTTCAGTGATGGAGGCACAACTGGTAAAAATCCCACAGTTCTTGCAGTCTGTATAGTTTGTCTAGATTTAAAGTTGAAGTAAGCATCCTGTTGTTCTACAGATATGCTTTAAACCCTGTCCAGTATTGCCAATGACCAAGGATCACTAGACATGAATGCAAAAATACATACTTTCACCAGTAGTGATCTATGTGTTCAATATCAGTATTTTTGTATTCCAGCTAGTCATGGGAAACATGTCACACCTATTTTTAAAACAATATTATTAGTAATTGTATTCACTTTTGTAGTATTTCACATTTGTAAACAGAATTTTATTTTTAAGAAGGTCATGGATTAATACAACTAAAGTCTTTGTATTTATTTAGCCTAGATTGAAGTTAGGTGCCACTGTCACCAGCCAATTAGCCAGTATGTTTCAGATTGCTAGTTTAGTATAGTTAGTTCAAGGAGCCAAAAGAACAGATATATATATATTTATTACCAGGCAAGGCGGAGCGCTGGACATTTCTGCTTGATCCATTGTATTTAAAAAATGAGAAAGGCCACGGCAGATGGCGTCCACTTTGGTCTGTTGAGATGCTAGCGGGAGGCACTTCACCCAGACCAATTCCAAATAGATCGTGAACTATACAGAAGAGTTCTGCTTGCTGGTTGGAAGCTTCGCTTATCCAGTCAGTGATGTAAGACCTTCTAGCAGCCTTATATATATATATATATATAACATGGCTACTTCTTTGGAAAAAAAATGACAGTATTCAGTATCTATAGAATATGTTATGGAATTCTATCTTATTAATTGCCACCTACATCTTTTATGGGGTGGGTGCTGCAATGCATGTTTCTTTAAATTTTTGACTGCTGCTATGAATGTCCTGAGCCACTAACTGGATAAGACTTCATCCTTCAGTTTAAATTAGTTTAGCTCGAAGTTTAAAAGATGCTATTTCTATTCCAAGGTGCAGGCACCAAGTCCACGGCAAGGCTTTAACGCTTGTCTTAAGATACTGTCAAGAACAAATTGCAATAAAAGCAGCATGCCTCAGGAGAATTTCTCAAGGCTAACTTTTTATACTTCATAAAATCCAGAAGTATAAGCTGTTTTGCCCAGCCCCCTGTATTATACAGGAGCCCTGTATTTCCAACCCTAAGCAGCAAATGGGCAGAGGACGTACCTATCATAAAATGTTGGAATAAGGCATTTCCAACCTTGTTCAGAGCATGAAATGTCTTGCCCCCAATAGATAATTCTCCAAACTGTTCAAGACTTCCAGGAAAGAAAAACTCATCACTAGATGTAGTGACACACTAGCACACAGCAAGTCAATAAAACTGAAATCAGATTAGCATTCCATGATTCCTGCAGACTGTGATAATTGCGCAATCATATTTACCATCAAAAGCCTCATCCATACATGATCAACAGGCTTCTCCCCCGTTTCACCACCTTTTTGGGGTGGTTTTAACCCCCTGGGCGGTCCCAAACAGGTCGGAATTCAGCCCAGGGGACAGAGCTCGGTCCTCCTTCTGCTGTCTTGTCACAGCGTCAAGCCGGAAGTCTAAACATACAGTATCATTTTTGAAGTATTCTTTAATGAGAACTCAAGGTATTTTAATGTAAGAAATGTCAAAAAAAACCTTTCTTTATCTTTGAAAATGCTGAAGTTTCTCAGTGCCTTTGAAAAATAGTTCATTATGTTCACTTCTTTTTTTTTCTGAATGCAGTGTTAAGGGAACATTAAAGATACAATGTCTGCTTGTATATACATTATATGTTGGTAAGCATATGCTCAGATAAACTATGAGGAAATCAAGGAGAATGCAGTATTCAAAGCTTGGTTCAAGATTTTCCCATCATACTCTAGAGTCCCAAGATACAGACAGGTGCACCTGCAAAGGGTAACTGATATTTTTTATCTCCATGTCTGGAGACTTTACAGACACTTCTTCATTAGCATGGTATTTGGAAACATGGTACCAAAAATAATGTAAGTGCAGTATTTAGATTCCACACGTAGCTGCTCTACACACAGATATCGTAAATGCTGTGCATGTGTATCTAGCCTGAGGACTAAATTAGATGGGACAGTAGGGATGCAGAAACAGTCTCCTGTTTTTAAAAAACTAAATAAACCTGAAATACAGTCGCATAAGTCTGTGAATTTGAAATAGTGGCAGTTGTGAGTGCGTACACTCAACCCACCCAACTTGCTTACCATTTTGGTTTTTCCTTATAAGGGAAAATATATAGATCTGATGTAAGTGGAATAGCAGCTGTGGAAATCTATTCTGATTTTTAGAAACTTATCTGGCTGCAGAAGAATTACAGTGGGGTCTTGACTTGAGAACTTAATCCGTATTGGAAGGCGGTTCTCAAGTCAAAAAATCTGTAAGTCAAGTCTCCATTGACCTACAGTGCATTGAAAACCGATTAATCCCGCAACAGGCTGTTTTTGTTCCATTTTGGTTTTTTCTGGTCTGTAAGTCAATTCTCAGGCTGCAAGTCAAACCTAAATTTTGCGGCCAGAGAAGTCTGTAACTCAAAAAGTCTGTAAGTCAAGCCATCTGTAAGTCAAGGGTCCACTGTAAGCATCTTTCCTATGCTGCTGCTCTAATCAAAGTCATTCTCCTACAACTGCATTTAGTTTTAAAAACACTGTTGAGAAACATTACCCATGTATAATCTAGTTTAGCCCTCAGCATTGTTTTAAAATAACCATGTGCACCAGTAGCAACTATAGTACAGTACTATAATTTAATTAATATAATTTCTGTACATTGAATATGAAGGATATTTATCAATCACAAACTGAATATGAGCCAGCAGTACAGTGTGGCTGCAAAAAAGGGCAAGTGCTATTTAGGCTGCATTAACAGAAGTGTAGTCTCCAAATCTCTTCTGTTTGGCACTGGCTAGGCCTCATCTTGAGTACTGTGTCCAGTTCTGGGCACCACATTTTAAGAGGGATACAGACTGTCACGACCGTCCTACAAGCTAACACCACGTTTCTCAGTACCCTGTCGTTCACCATCAATCTCTGACATGCCTCTTGTGTGTACCTAGATTATGTACCCAATCTCAGGCACCCACCACGTCCTTTACTACGCTGCCACCAGTTGATCTCTTTACCAACTATGTTTACTGTGAAAGACGAGGTCCATTTAGTGCTGAACTTTGAAATAAGAACAGGTTTATTGGTTACAAGTTGTTTCATGAATAGTTCTTAAGCACATTCTTAAAGTTACACAAAGCCTTCAGTATATTCTTTTAACCTCTTCTATGTTGTTGTTGTGTAGTCGTTGAGTTGTGTCCAACTCTTCGTGACCCCATGGACCAGAGCACGCTAGGCCCTCCTGTCTTCCACTGCCTCTTCTATACTTAACTAATAAAGATAACACTCTGACTGTTTACTCACTAAAATCTCTCTCTGCCACAAAACTCCCAAACTACCGTATATCTCTATCTTTTCAAACTCTCCACTCCTTTTTTCTCTTTGTCTCCCTCTCTCTGCTTCAGCCCCCCTTTTATATAGCTGGCTTCGCCTCCCAACAGCTCCCTGTTGGTTTGTGCAAACACACTGCTGAATACGCATGACAGGGTGACCGTTATACAGACAAACTGGAATACCTTCAGGTTAGAAGGTGACAAGGATGAGGACAAGGACTAGAAAGCAAGCCCTGTGAGGAAACACTTAAAGAAAACCGGGCAAGTGTAGCTTTGAGAAAATAAGACTGAGGGATATGTATAATAGCACTCTTCAAATACTTGAAAGGTAGTCAGTCATACAGAATAGAGGCAGGATCTGTTTTCAGTAATTCCAAAGTGTAAGACATATAATAATGGTGTCAAGTTACAGGAAGCCAGATTTTGATTTAATATCAGGAAATAAATTAGAGCAGTAGGACAAAGGAACCAATTACCCCAGGAGGTGGTGAGTGTCCAACACTGGAGGCATTCAAGAGAAAGTTAGCCATCTGTGAGATATACAGTGGTGCCTCGACTTGCGAACATCCTGACTTGCGACCAATTCTGGCCACAAAATTTTGCCTCAACTTGCGACCAGAGGTTTGAGTTATGATCAGAAAAAGGTGGGGAAAAAGACAGGGAATTTAGGAGGTTTGAGTTATGATCAGAAAAAAGGTGGGGAAAAAGACAGGGAATTTAAATTACTAACCGTTGGTCAGCGAAGAGGCTGCTTCTTTGTATCTGTTTCGCCCCAACGGTTAGAAGGAGTGCGTCGGAGGAGGCTTCGGACTGCCTGGTGCTGCTTTCTGCTTTTTAAAATGCCTTTTCTGCGTTAGTACAGGGTTTTGCAGGATGGGTTTGGGCTGGGGGGTTATGTTTCTGTTCTGTGATTTTTTTAATTATTATTATTTTTTTGGTGTGTGTTTTTCCCCCAGCCCCAGCACATTCTGATGGGGCTTGTTCTGTTTGTTTGTTTGTGGTTTTTTTGGTGATTTCCCCCCCGGCCCCATCGTGTTCTGATGGGGCTTGCTGTGGTGTTTGTGTGTGTGTGTGTGAGAGAGAGAGAGAGAGAGATTTTTTTTTCCAGCCCCAGTGCAGATAGGGCTTGTTCTGTTTGTGGGTTTTTTTGGCATTTTTTTCCAGCCCCAGCGCATTCCAATGGGGCTTGTTCTGTTTGTTTGTGCTTTTTTTGGTGATTTTTTTCCAGCTCCAGCGCGTTTCAATGGGGCTTATTCTGTTTGTTTGTTTCTGTGTTTTCTTGACAATTTTCCCCCTGGCCCCAGCACATTCCAATGGGGCTTGCTGTAGTGTTATGTGTTTTTTTGTGTGTGATTTTTTTCCGGCTCCAGAGTGTTCTGATGGGGCTTGCTGTGTGTTTGTTTTTTTTTTGGTGATGTTTTTCCGGCCCCGACATGTTCTGATGGGGCTTGCAGTGCGTTGTGTTTTTGTTTGTTTGTTTGTTTTTTGGTGATTTTTCCTCCAGCCGGAATGGATTAATGGGGTTTCAATGCATTCCTATGGGAATGTGTTTTTGTTTGTTTGTTTGTTTTTTGGTGATTTTTCCTCCAGCGGAATGGATTAATGGGGTTTCAATGCATTCCTATGGGAAATAGTGCATCGACTTATGACCAGTTCGAGTTGCGACGATCTTCTGGAACAGATTAAGTTCATAAGTCAAGGCACCACTGTAGTTTGATTAGGATTCCTGCGTTGAGTAGGGGTTGGACTTGATGACCTTCTATGCCCCTTCCAACTCCACAACCGTATGCTTCTATATTCTAATTCTCACACACTAGGATTTTTTTTAAGTTGCATTGTGTGTGGTGTGGGCATTTACTGACCTGCACTGAGAGTTAGATGTATGTTTATCATTCCCAGTGAGAATTCTGATGCATGAAATAATGAATTTCTTCCACAAGTGGGATTACTTATGGAAAAGTTGTGTGTGTCCTTTTTGCTTTGTTGACTGGAAGAAAAATGGCATGGAACCTTACATCATTTGGAACAAAAACACACACCAGGGCTAAACAAGCAGTAGATTTCTGGTGGCATTGTTGTCCTGTTGGTTTTTGTTGGGGGGATTTTGAGCAAAAAGGTGTGTGTGGCAAGTGGCTGAAATTAGAAGAATTGCTTACAGCTAAGCAAGTGAGAATACCATAAATTCCTATATGTACTATAGACTTAGTTCTATGGGGATTCTGTAATGAAACATGGCTCTGTGGAACTGAAATGTCTCTCCCCATTTACAAGACTTAACAGATTCACAGGCCATTTATAATGAATTTGAACCCATGTTTGGGAACCCTGAAGTGGACGGTGTAGTTGCTGTCATCTTGTTACTGAATATTAGACTTGCTACAATATTACTTCAGAATTTCTTTTTCAGTAGAGATTATTAAATATCTGTCTGGAAGCTGCCTAGAGTGGTCATTTTGACCAGATAGGCGGGGTACAAATAGAATGAATGAATGAATGAATGAANATGTATTGTTCTTCTGCAATAAGCTTGAATAAGCTAAAACTACAGTTATCATTGTGCTTTCACATGCACAATATCTTTATAATATTTGATACCTTTAATATTGCCTTTTCTCTAGGAAGAACTGCACTCTGGTTTTACAATTAACCACTGAGACTGAAAGATGGTGAATGCTCCAAGATAATCCAATTAGTTTCATGGAAGAGAAAAAAAATTTGAATTTAATTCTCCTTAGCTCCACACTGACAGTAGCCACTACATCACGTGAACTGTTGTTAATTTTTCCTATTCTGGTGCTCCAACTGAGGAGAGTACTCACATCTATTAGTATATGAAAAGACATGGATAACTGTTGTATTTTCCATGTATAAGACCCCCCCAATATATAAGACGACCCCCAATTTTGACCTGAGGCAGAGGCAAAGGAGCAGCCACGCTTGGCCACCCCTTGCAGCTGCCCATTGACTGCGGCTGCCCGATTGCCTCCTCCAGTGCTGCTGCCGGGGCTCACTTCAAGCTCACACTGCCACCTTGTCCCCTGCCCAAAGGGAGCCAGTGAGTGGTGCTGGAGGAGGCGATCGGGCAGCCACAGCTGCAGTCAATGCACACAACCGAAGGGCGGCCAAGCATGGCTGCTCCTTTGCCTCTGCCTCCTGCTGCCTCCGATCGCAAGTGGCCGCAGCATCAGTCAATGGGCAGCCGCAAGGGGCAGCTGAGCACAGCTGCTCCTTCACCTCTGCCTCTGGCTGCTGCTTTGGTGTACTTCTGTGTATAAGACAACACTCAATTTTTGCAGTAAATATTTTAAGAAAAAGTATTGTCTTATGCATAGGAAAATGCGGTACTCAGTTTAGGAACCAGAAGCTGTCAGAAGTGGGGAAGGGGAGAATTATTGAAAGACTTGTTACAAAGGCCTTAGCAGTCATCAGCAACCTGCTTCAAGACCTTCAGTTGTCCTTTGAGCATAGGCAGGAGGATGCAGATCAGGATTTCAACAAATGATAAGAGACATCTTCTAATCAGCCAGCAAGTATTTCAGTAATTTTTAGAGGGTCAGAACATGCTAGTGTTCCTCTTAGCTCCATAACCCTTGAAGGTGGTTTTATTTTTGCCCCTGCTACTCTGCCCATCAACCCCAATCCATTTGTATTATCTTTGTAAATAGAACAATTGTTTATTAATTTATTCTGTTTTAATTTTTATTACTATTCTAAAACTGAAAAATTGTGCTCATGTAAAATAAAATAACTAATAACTACAGTCACGGCCAAAAATATTGACACTCTTACAATTCTGTCAGAAAATGCAACCCTTCTCTCAGAGGGTTGCAGTTACAAATGTTTTGGTACTCACATGTTCAATTTTTTTTGTTTGCATTGGTACTACACACACAAAAGCAGAGAAGAAAAGTCAAATCTGATACAGTCCCACACAGAAACCCAAAAATGCTCTGGCCAAAATGATTGGCACACTTGACTTAATACAGTGGTGCCTCACATAGCGATTTTAATCGGTGCGGCAAAAATCGCCGCTAACCGAAAACATCGCTATGCGATTTAAAAAACCCATTGCAACGCATTGAAACCCCTTCAATGCGTTCCAGTGGGGTAAAAACTTACCTTTAAGCGAAAATCCTCCATTTTCGCTGCCCAGTAAGCGAGGAATCCGTCCCAAAAAAGAGCGGGAGGCCATTTTTTTCCAGCCGCCATTTTGGAACTGCCGATCAGCTGTTGGAAAAAAATGCTATCGAAAATTGGTAAGTGAAACAGCTTACCGATCATTGCAAAGCGATTTTTTCCCATTCAAAACATCGTTATGCGATTGCTTTTGCGATCGCAAAAACCTAATCGCTATGCGATTTTGTTGTTAAATGGGGCGCTCCTTAAGCGAGGCACCACTGTATTTGGTAGCACTCCCTTGTATCAGATTTGACTTTTCTTCTCCGTTTTTCGTGTTGTTCCAATGCAAACCAAAGAAATGAGCATGTGAGTACGAAAACATCTGCAGTTGCAACAATTTTCTTAGAGAAGGGTTGCATTTTCTGACAGAATTGCAAGGGTGGCAATATTTTTGGCCATGACTGTATTAGCTTTAAAAGGGAAATTAGAATACTAACTGCAGTCAGACATGCGTTTAGACAATAAAGAAAGGAAGGAAGGAATTAATTAGCTTTAATCCACCTGAAGAAGCCTCTAATTAGAGGGACAGTATCTATAATAGTCTACTGGCTGGTTGTTTTTGTGACACAACCTAATTCATTATTACAAATCAGATCTGAAAAACTCTAACAACTCAGAAAACACTGAGTGAACAAAGTGTGGTTATTTTAGAAAACCCCAGCTAGTATGGAACGAAGCCTGGACTGAGAAAGAAAATTATTTGCATATACTGTTTTTGTAAGCATGTAATAGATGTCACTAAACTAGTTCTCTTCATTAAGTTCTTTTGCTTTTAAAGTAAACTGTAGGTATCAGGAAATGAAAACTCCTGACCTACCAGAGGTGGAATCAAGAAGATTGTATTTTTCACCAACATGGGAACAAGAAGATGTGTTTACAGAGCTCAGCATTCCACTAGGTATGTCTAGTTACACAGGTGTCACATATAATACAACCAGTCACACTGTCTTTCTCTTACTACATGCTGTCTCTCTTTACTTGCAGAAGTTAGCAGTTTCTGAGAACAGTATTAAAAACTTCAAGACCAAAAGAAATTAAACAGGTTTATTTAGGGCTAGAAAATTGTAAGTGTAAGACTTCCTAAAGTGCCAGAAATATGACATGATATATCTAGAGTTCTGGATAAGGGCAGGTAGCAGCAACCAGGGTAAGAGATCTTGAGAGCATACAGCAAAGTTTTTGATGATGAGATAGAGAAAAGGCAATTGATTTTACTACTGCAGAGAAGAAACATTTGATTGCAACAGAGTAACTTTTTAAAAAATGATGAGAGGAAGTTAAAATAAAATAAAGACAAGTCTTCATGCCTGGTGGTTGGGATGGATAATGAGGATAATGAAACAGAATAATACAGGCAAGGGAGACTTATGAAGAAATATGACACATTTCATCTTTGACATATATAAAAATCTCAAAGTCGGTTGGAAATGCTTGCTTGTATGCAGAAGAGAGACTGGGATTAGAGAAATATTGTTGAGTGATGTGAGAACCTTGAGATTTGTTCACCATCTAGAAGCAGAGGATAAAGGAGATATTAGTGACTCTGGAACAGATCATAGGGGACCCAACACAGAAGGAAAATGGAGAGGAGAAGCTCATACTAATATAGAAAAAAAGAAAGCTGAGAAGAGCATTATAGGAAGACTAGAAAGGTATAGAGATCAACTGGAGACTTCCTGTTTTAGCCACAATTTTAGCGTGCAGACACTCAAAAATATAGTTTGGTGCACTCAAAAATATAGGTTGGAGTTGGACTTGTTCTTACAGATGCTCACATAATTGCATCAAGTACAGTCTACAGTGAACACAGAACCAGAACTAGATATACCTGCCAGGCGAATAAATAAAACAGGATCTCATCCACAAAGTACACATTAAGACACAAAAGCATGTAGAAGTGTAGTACATTATCAAAGAATTAATAAATATTTTTAAAATGGGAACATGTTTGTAGTCTCTCTTAGAAAAAGGATGAGAAAAGGGAACTCATTTTACAAAAGAGACTAGTTGCAAGGACAGCAAGTGAATCATTGACAGAGAAAAGAGACAAAATAGCATGTTAGTCAAAGAAATGAATGAAGAAACAACAATGGATGAGCTTTACACACATGCTTATGCCCAACATGCATGCATATCCACAGACAGGATAGTTAAGGACTATGGAATCTGCCCTTATGTTTGAAATCAGTATCTGAATAATCTAAGTCTTGGTAAACTATCTTTCAAAAAGTAACACATCTTGTATTCAGGATTTTCTCCATTTAGAATTTTAAATTTCTAACTGGAGACTCTGGAAGTACACCAGTCTTTCCAGAAACAAAGTCTACTTTCTCCAGGCCATATGAACATCCATTTGATTCTCTATATAAGTATTTCTGTTGGTTTCTGTTAAACCAACATGTAAAAAATGGCTGAAATTGTATTGCTTAGTGTCGTAACTTACACCAGAGTGGGCCCATTGAATCAGTGGAGATTTTGTGAGTCAACAGTTCTGGGCCTATTCTAGTTGTGACTTACTTCAGCCACTTGCTATACTAAAGATCAGGATTTCAGCATTAAATAAGGAAAATGTAATACAAGTCAAACGTTAAATACAAAAAAGCCCTAATAATAATAATGAAACTTAGTATGTTTAAAAGAATGGGAATTCTATCCTTGCTTCTACTTTACTCTACCTCTGATGGAAAAAATTATAAATAATATTGGCAATAAATTAAAGGTTTGTGGTAGCACTGCATTTTAATAAAATCAACTGACACAAATTCTGCAATTTCTTTTCTGTTTAAAGGAATATCTCATTCTATCTCTGATATTTTCCTAATCTCTGTAATTCAATTTTTTTGCATAGGGGTGGAATTTGTTGTTCCCAGAACTGGCTTTTACTGCAAACTTTGTGGACTCTTTTACACAAATGAAGAGGCAGCAAAGAGTCGCCATTGCAGAAGTACTGTTCACTATAGAAACCTTCAGGTAACACATTATTGATGCTTTCAAGCTTATTTAGATGTGCATAAGATTTTCATGCAGTGGCATGTAAGACCAAGCCTTGGACTGCACGCTCCCTACCCCCTTAATGCACACATATCATCTTAAGTGACCAAAGTGATTCATAGTATTTGTGTGTGTATATAAGGTTTAGCTTGCTTTTCAATCTGGTGTAGGGCGTAATTAGAAGATTCTGATAGCAGAAATGACATTTAAATTAAGACGAGACAAACTATGGGAGAGGAATCAGGAAGCTGGAATCAGCCTTTACCCCATCATCTACAACCATACTCTTACCTCCAGAGCCAGCTTTGATTTCAAATGGCCTGCCACAGAACTTCCTCAAATGGGTGGCGGCGGCAATATCTGGTCAAGTAGAACAACATTTATTTAAGATTGGGACACAAGTGGGGGTAGGTTTCAGGGACCAGTTTCATCTTCCTGCTTGAATCCACCATTTTCTTTTTTGCCTTCCTAGAACCTTAGAAGCTGTAGTTGCCAAGGAAGCCATGAACAAAATCTGGTGACACCCTAGAGACAAACAAGTTTTATTTGGCCTGCACTTTTGTGGCCTGGGTTCATTTCTTAATTTTCATCTGAACAGCTATAGTCCACAAAAGGTTACTAAATAAGACTTTTCTTCTTCTTTTTTGTGCCAAAACAATCTTTTTGTGTTTGCTGCAACAGATGAACACAGATAACTGCCTTTTTGAAAATTGGTCTGACCAAGCAAATATCTCAAAATAATTAGAGATTATTAGAATGTAGTGTCACTATACCTGCATGGTACCTGGCCAACTGTGCTCTGGAATGAAGCAAGTGTGCCTGGTATTGTGCTGCCATGTTAGCCAGGAGCTTTGGAACCTCTGTATCTATATATAGTAGATATCTGGGTGAGGCACATTAGTTTTTGTACTGTAAAAGAAATTCGGTAATGTGTTGAACATCAACTGTTCAGTTTACTGCTGAGCACATGATACAAGGCAACAGAAAAGTGACGGGTTGAGATCATAGGGCTCAGTTTTTATATACCTATTCTGAAAGCCCACTTTTGCTCTTATCTCAGTGTTCAAAATAGCTGTGACAAATGTCAAAAATAAAGCCTCTTTAGGACTTCATCATTTTCTGGGATGTGATACCATGTAGATATCTAGATACCCAGACTGAAAATATATTGTTATCCCCTGCTGTGTACTGTTATTTTGTAAAGTTATACAGTAGATTATTACAGTTGAAAAAGAAGAAGGCAGAAGTCTTTTATGGCTCAAAGATGTGTTTGATCAACTTCTGTGATTTTCCAAGGCTCTTATTGGTGTTTTCACCATGTATGAAGTCCACACTACCCCTGTCTTTTATAATTACATACAGCTCAGGCATTCTGCTAAATCCAAATATTATTTGAAACTAAAGAGCTTCTGTTTAATTCAGTTTTAATGCCGTAGTTGCACATTTCAACATTTGTTTGTTTATACTTACCTACCTACCTACCATCCACCCACTCTTGTTATCCATCAAGTCTTGGCTTTTCTGTAGAATATGAAGTGAAAGCTGCATACAGTCCTGTAGTTAGTCATACACAATCTTAAATGAAATGTGAGAGGCTAACCGGTGAAAGGACTGCCTTCAGGATTCTTTTTCCTCCTGTTGGGCAGATACTAATTCAAGATCAAAGCAGTATTATGTGGTTGAAAAAATACTGTATGCATTTGCTCATTAAAGATGTATATACATTGTTTTAAGCAACATATGGCTATCTTTTTAAGTATGTAAAATTACTGTCATTTCTTTGGGAAGGAATCATCACAAATATTTAGATAGTTATCAGCTTTTTTTTCTTTGTGTGTTTGTTTGTATGGTGTCCATATAGACCTTAAGCACAGCCTGGTCTGCGGCTCCCATTTAGTATCTGCTGTACTCTGTGCCTATGATATAAATGAGCATGCAAAGCACAATTATACCTGAAAAAAGAAATTTGTGTGATGTCATACATGATTCATAGTTCAGTTGCTAAAAAGTAGGGACTGTCCAGAAATCATGTGAAACGTGCCTTGAAACTCCCTGCCAGAAAGGGAGGTAAGAGAGAATATTAGTGAATATTGACTTGGATTTGTTTATAACAAAAGAGGATATCTGAATATACAAATGTCTATCTTTATTCTGACTGACTACTGAAGAAATGTTGGGCCAAACAAGAAGAATGTTCAGTAAAAAGTCCATCAGTTGCCTGGTTTTGGTTCCAGCTAGAAAAGTAAGTGGAACTCACTGGCTAAAATCCTGTTGTTTAGTGGAGTAAGTTGCAACTAGAAGGTGCATATTTGAATCAACAGAACTTGCAGAAGAGTTGACTGATCCAATTCCCATTAGCTCAGTGTGCCTATTCTAGTATCAAGAGAATTTCAGCCACTGTTTAGCTTTGTATTTCTTTGCTGCTAGGGCAGTTACAAGCAAAGCAACAGTCAGACGTGATGCAAAATGATAGCATCCATCCAGCAACTGGTGATTTGTTGGTGTATTAGCCATGCTGATTCCTGATAGTGAGCCTGTATCAGGTTTTTATTTCTTTCACTTTCAAAAGCTAGTTATACATCTTCAGCCCTTTGAATTCTCATAAATATCTGCAGTAATGTATGAAAACTAATGTAAGTTTCAGTCATTGTAAAATACTTTTATTCTGTCATTATCTACAGAAGTACCTGTCACAGCTTGCAGAAGAAACGCTGAAGAGGAACGAAAAAGAAAGCAGTTTGGCACAAGATGATACTGGAATTGTACCTCACTTTGAGGAGAAAAGGCTATGATATTGACTAATTTGAAATGAAGAGCTCGGCCTTGTTTTTGCTTTTTTTTTACTGTGATCCTGATGATACACCTTTAGTTTGCACTCTGGTGAAGGAGGGAAAGTGTAATGAAGAAAATTATAAAAATATAATGCCTGCAACACAGTGAAGCAACAGTGATAATCAGCAGAGTTCACCTTCCTCAGATGGGTCTCTCTCTCCCCTCCCTCTCCTCACCATCCTTCCCTCTTTAAATCAGAATTCTCAGGGATTTTCTCAGTATTAGTTCTGATGTAATTTCACGTAAATTGTTAGAATATATTAACTGGAAAAACTGACCTGAATAAATTTATTTGTATAGTATTTTAATTTACTCACCACTGAGCAATGAACCACAGGTCTTTTAATCATATCCTTATGTTAGTGTGTTATTGTTGGTAATGTTGTGACAACACTATCCTGTCTTGTTTGAAGTAATCCATGGTCCATATGTTTGAAGGTTTACAACCTCCATCAGAGGGGACAGAAGCAGTGAAGCCCCTTCATCTTCAGTCCTTAGACATGTTTCAGAAGACTGAAATCTGAAAACTTCTAGCACATCAGGTTCCACATTTAGTCACTGGTAAGATTGGCAATAATTCTCAGATTTTCATAAAGCTTTATTACTATTAAATCTATACAGATTTGCACATGACTAAACTAATAGTTTTAAGTGGAAAAAAACCCACCATTCTTGTCTAGGTGATGCACCTTTATTTTAAATGCTGCACCATCTTTGAAGAAGCATTGCTTCTTGCATGAAAAAGATGTTGACAAGGAATGTCTCTTCTAAGATGGTGCCTGCAACCCTGGGTTGAGTGGCATTTGTCTGCTGTATAATGAAGCAATCTTACTGAAGCTAAGTAGACTGGATCTGGTCTGTTCCTAGATTAGAAACTTTCTGAAAATCCTGTGTAAGCTCCCTTGTGTTCCACGATGGAACAAAGTTAGATACATCTTCAAACATTTTTCAGTAATTAAATAGCTGAACATTGAAACCTTAATTTGAGCAGACTTTGAATTTCACTTCCATTAATTTCTATGTTAATATATAGAGGCTCAACATAGTATCAGATGTGGATTTCAACAATATGTATGTTATGTAATATAGAGTTGCACTAAAATAAGCAGTTTATTTATTTTATTTATTTCCATGAAGCTTGAAGTGCTTGGATGTATAGAGCCTTTTAGTAGCATTTCTCATAAGTTTTAAATGTTCCAAGAACCATTGAGTTGCTGAGCCAATTCAAAAAAAGACAAAGAATATTTACTGTAGTTTCTTATTCAGGATGTTTTTGAGGGAAATGTGAAATGTTATAGGAAAATACAGGAGAAAGCTTCTTCTCATCCTAAATTTTAACAGATTATCTTCCCATACTATTGGCACTTTTTGTATTTGAATTAATTGGCACAAATACTAAAATACAGGCCAGGAACATGTTACCTTCCCCCTGCTACCAAGATCCTTTTCCTTGCAAGGTGGGGAGGTGTGAGATCTGTTCAGTGCCTGCTGTCCCTAAGTTGGGTTCCATTTTATTAAATGGTATAAATGTTCCATTTCTTTCCATTAGAGATGGGGCGAAGCTGCCCATTTCCAATTCATGAATTTTAGATCCTTGGAATCCCTGGCCTTTGGCTTAGCAATTAAATGATGGGGCAGGTGAGCATATGTATTGTCTCTTGAGATACTAAGTGTACCAAATTTCTGCATACATCTTTTAAGAACATTTTATTGCATCTTTCAATACAAACATTTTCACGGTAGCTATGAGAGTTCTAAAACAACAATTAAAGCAGAAAAAAAGCTAATATCCAGAACAGCAAAAAAGAATCAATGTTTACAGCCAGGATTCAGAAACACATATAACCTTCCAGGATTATACAAAAGATACTGTTAGTTTGTGAAGCCATTTCTATAGCCAAAATTTGTGAGGTGCGTCTCAGTGAAAATACTGACATTGACAGTTTCAGGTATAGAAAGATGCATTTATTTCTCAAGGACCTGCCTCTTCAACATAGTGTGTCAAGCACATGCTAATATAATCTAGCCCAAGGCATACCCACCTCTTCCCTCCCTGCCCAAAAAGCTCTGCTAGTGCTGTGAAACTAGCATTTTCTTAGAACAAAAATGGTTCCCCTTGCTTTGGAATTCTTGCAGCAAAAATCTGAAATATAAGAAACATAACTTCTAACCTGCCTTAATTCACAAATGTAGTCTGTACTGACTAATATGTATGTATAGCACAAGGCACTCTTAAATGTAGCCAAAGATTATTTATTATTATGCCAAAAGGTTTCTTGTTTGTAAATTATTACAAAGTATATTAGTTAAGCATTTTAACATCTTTAGAATGTACAATGTTTTCTTACGTGTTTCAACCAATTACTCTTAAGGGGCATCACTATCCCTTTTTTTCTCGTTTTGAAACTAAAGAATCTACAAATTGGCCCATAAAATTTGACATATTTTGCTACTGAACTTCATACTAGTGCTTGGTATTAGACTTTCAGGGTTTTTCTGTCTTAGTTAAGTCCATGATCTGTTGATCTATACTTGAACTGGACCAGATGTTACTATTTATTAAGTTCACTCAAATGTTGTTTAATTTTTGCATTGTAAACATTTGAAATGTGTGGAACTTAAATTAGTTAGGAGATACCACAAGTTTTAATTGTACTTCAGATTTTAGATGGCATTTGTTAAAATAAATGAATTATTGTAATAAAGGTAATTCTAATGACCATTCAGGAGCTGGTGAACTTTCTTATCATAGTAGCTTTCATATGATCTTAAAGATTGCTGTGCAGAGTATTTCTAATTTATTAATCAAAAGTTGAAGACAAGATGATGAAGGAGATTTGTCCAAAAAACCGCACATAAAAATATAGCAATTAGTTTTTAACATGTCACAATGTTTTTGTTCTCTTAATTTTTTATTTTTGTTTTGTCTTTTGGTCTACGATGATTCCACAAACTCATTCTGCCATCCTTCTCCACACAGAGATACTAAAATATGTTTCATTTGTCTTTTAGCCAATATTGAAAATTATAATGTACTTCATCTTACTTCTCCTCCTGAGATGTGAAAAGCTTAATTTGATTTAAAATATATCATGCAAATATCATCTGCTAGTGATCATTCCAGACTAGGAAATACAGTGGTGCCTCGCCAGACGATTGCCTCGTGGGACGAAAAACCCGCAAGACAATTGTTTTTGCGATCACTATGGTGCCTCGCAAGACTTTTTTTCTATGACCGTGCTTCACAAGACTTTTTTTTTTGAGACTGATGCTTCACAAGACGTCTTTTTTTTTTTAGACTGATGCTTTGCAAGATTTTTTTTTTTTTAAAGGACCGATGCATAGGGAACCTTGCAAGACAATTTTTTCACAAGATGATGATTTTCACGGAACGAATTAAAATCGTCTTGTGAGGCACCACTGTACTACTTTTTTGGACTGTTGTATGCCTTAGAGAAACTGTCTCTAAACTCCATGTTGTCTGGGATATTCTGGGACCTATCAGACAAACAAAGTTCTGGTCAGGCTTAGGCCCAGTACACTTGTGACATTTCATATTTATGAAGAAAATAACCCTGTAAGCTGTTTCTGAATGTACTGTTGAATATTGTGGGAAGGCAGGGAGAAATGGAGAATGCATAAGTTTATGTTTTATGTGAACTGCAAATAACTTCGCTGTGGCAATTACTTCAGAAAGTTGGATGTAATTCTTGTCCCCAATTTTATTTTATTTTTAATAAGTTCCTTTAATACATGGTTGCTATTCTCTTCTCATTCAGCTTTTCTGTTATGAGTAGGCTTCCCTCTAATGGACAGTTAATTATTGCAACTGAATATATTAATGTTTCACCTTTTAATCTTGCGTTTTTAGATACAGTGGATCCTCGTCTTACGGAATTAATCCTTATTGGAACAGTGTCCGCAGGTCAAAAAGTCCGTAGGTTGAATATCCATTTCCCATAGGAATGCACTGAAAACCATTTAATCCGTAACTGTCCATTTTTGCTCCATAGGAACTAATGGAAAGCCTGCTAGGCGGAATTTTTTTTCTTTTTTCTTCTTTTGACCTAAGGTGAACGTAGGTCAAAAAAGGGCAGGAAAAGGGGGCGGCAGGGAACAGTTTTAAAATCACATTTAAAAGTTTTTTTTTTTAACCAAGCCTGTTTGCAAGCCAGCATTCTTCCTCCACAGAATTCTTCAGGAGAAAGAGAGACATGAATCTGAACTGCATTTTAAGCCTGTTTGCAAGCCAGCATTCTTCCTCCACAGAATTCCTCAGCACAACCAAGCCAAGCCAAACCAAACCAAACCCAAGGTTTTTCAACCAAGCCAAGCCAAACCAAAAGGCAGGAAAGGAGGGAGGGAGGGAACAATGAGGAAAGAAAGAAAGAAAGAAAGAAAGAGAGAAAGAAAGAAAGAAAGAAAGAAAGAGAGAAAGAAAGAAAGAAAGAAAGAAAGAGAGAAAGAAAGAAAGAAAGAAAGAAAGAGAGAAAGAAAGAAAGAAAGAAAGAAAGAGAGAAAGAAAGAAAGAAAGAAAGAAAGAAGGTCATCACTGGGGCACACAGACCCCTCAGACAAAGGTTTGTGCTTTGAACATAAAAAGAGAGAAAACAGAGACCGAGAAGACAATGGGGGGAGAGTTTTTGGAGGCTAAAACACACATTTTAAAAAAAACACATTTTAAGAACAACATTTTAAAAACCAGCAACTTTTAAACAAAACACATTTTAACAGGAATAAAGCAACTTTTAAACCAACCAACCAAGCCACCCAGCCAGCCACCAACACCTTTTAAAACAAAAGAGAGGTGACTTAGCTTTCATTGTCTTCTCGAGGACATGACTGCGAGGTAGAGGTCCCCTCCTTTGGGTCATCTTCTCCAGGGGGTCCCTGCCGCTGTCTCTTCACTGCAGGCTCCATCCTGGTGAAAAATCTGTCCAATGTTGTCTGTTTGTCCTGTGCTGAAGAATCTTCCGGAAGTGGCTGACCACGTTGTCATTCATCATGTCCAAAATTCTTCCTGTCACAGTCTTGTTTGGGTGGTGCTTCTCAAAGAAGTCCTGGCACTTGGTCCACATCTGGCAGACGGATTTGATCTCATCGCTGCTAACCTGCAGTTCCTCTTCCTCAGTAGAATGCTCATCCACAAGAGCCTTGTGCTGCTCGCTTTGCAGTTCTGCAAGTTCTTCCGTCGTCAGCTCCTCTTCACGTTCTTCAACGAGCTCCTCTACATCCTCTTCATCGACATCCAGACCCATGCCTTCACCCATGGCGACAATGTCCCTCACCAACTGTGAATCAGTCCCTTCAGTGCCACTGTCTGCAACACATTCTGGCCAGAGTTCTTCCAGGCTGAGTTCAAGGTCCTGATTGTGACATCCTGTCAGGTCTTGTCAGTGACTCTGACGCTATGGAGGACATTGAAATGTGTCTTCCAGAACTCTTTCAGGGTCAGGGACGTCTCCTCAATGATATTGAAGCACCTGGTGAAGAGTGCCTTTGTGTACTGCTTCTTGAAGTTGCTGACCACTTGCTGGTCCATGAGCTGCAGAAGAGGTGCTGTGTTGGGGGGGAAGGAACTTGACCCTGATGAAATCCTTGTCAATGTCCTCCATCAAGGATGGGGGGTGTGCCGGGGCGTTGTCCATCAGCAGAAGGCATCTCTCAGGAACCTGGTTGTCTGAAAGATATCGTCTTACAGTGGGTACAAACTCCTCATAAGGCCATTCCAGAAACAGCTGCCTTGTCATCCAAGCTCTTGCGTTGGCCCTCCACATGAAAGGCAGTGTGGCCTTTTTGACTTTCTCTTGTTGGAATGGGCAAGGAGTCTGGGAGTGGTAGATCAGCAGAGGCTTGATCTTCAGATTGCCTGTGGCATTGGTGCAGAACAAAAGGGCCAATCTGTTCTTCATGGGTTTGTGGCCCAGCAGTTTCTCTTCCTCCTGGGTGATGTAGGTTCTCCTGGGCATCTTCTTCCAGAACAGCCGTGTCTTGTCACAGTTGAAGACTGTGCTGGGGGAGGTAGTCTTCTTCCTTGATGAATTCAGCAAACTCCACCTTGAAGGCTTCTGCAGCATTATGGTCAGAACTTGCAGCCTCCACATATCTTGTTATGCAATGGATGCCACTTCTCTTCTGGAACTTTTGGAACCACCACTTGCTGGCTTTGAATTCTTCTTGCACTGCACTTCCGGAGGGGTTTCTTTCCATTAAATCACTGTGCAGCTTCCTCGCTTTTTCACAGATCATGGCTTCACTGATGGTGTCCCCTTTCAGTTGTTTCTCGTTGATCCACACCAGTAAAAGTTTTTCCACTTCTTTGTTATGGTTGTGACTCCTTTTGCCACATCAATGTCCTCAGGACAACTTTCATCTCCAGCATGGTACCAATGGTGGACTTTGCCATCTGGTATTCAGCAGCCAGTTCAATCAAACACATGCTTTGTTCATTCTTTTTGATTATTTCCTTTTTGTGTTCAATGGAGATGATCTTTTTGGGGGGCTTGCTCTGTTCTTTCTTTGGAGTCATGACTATGGTTCAGCTCACCAGAGTACACAAATCCTGCATCAACAAATAAACACAGTCCCTGATTTTAAGGGGAAAAAAGACTGTGGAGTCCTAAACTTAAACTTTAGACTTGGGTCTGAACTGCATTTTAAAGCCTGCCTCCCTGCCAGGTTGCCTGGCTGGCTGCCATTTTAAAGCCCGGCTGCCTGCATCTACAACCACCAAAGACGCTCTCAGAAAATTTTCTGATTTAAAGAAAAGAAGACTTTGGAGTCTTAAAGTGCATTTTGCTTGCTTCAAAAATCAGCAAGCATTAAAAACCCATTGAACACCATGCCATCCACCACAAGCCCTCACAGAAAATTTTCTGTACATTTGAAACCCACACATTTTAAAACAAAAGAGAGGTCTTGTACACAAACCATAGAATCCACAGAATGCAAAAATAAATAAATA